TTATTTATTAGTAGTATTATATGGGAAATTATGGCACAAGGTAGCGCTCAGGAAGGTTACTATGTCCAGATGCCTACAGTGTAAAATGTAATGGGGGGTTCATCTATCTAATACGCTGCTGTAGGAATAGAATTGTGATGCCTATTTCTACAGCTGTATGCAATAACACACGTGCAATGTAAGTAATATGAGAATCCTAAAAACACAGCTTTAAGGGAATAATTAGCAGTGATTCTGGAATCTGAATTTCTCTGCTCTAGCAAACATTTTCTCAGGGGGAGATTAACATTAATGAAATGGATTCCAGGTATAATTTAAGCATAGAAGAGCACATTAAGGTTTGATTTAGGTGTGCCTTGTTGACTGGTGTCAGAGGCAGTATCTCTTGAAATCCCCAAACAAAAGCCTATAGCCCTATTGTTAACCGTCCACCTGCTGCTTGATAGGTATTAGTAATGCGGATCAGAGAAAGATACAATTTTTTTGCAAGGTAACTGCAGCCACGGGTCTCTGTACAACTATACACAATTTCCTTTGAATTATAGCTCATTTTCTGCTAATTTAATGGCATATTTGAGCTGGCATAATTAGAAGCTGATAGCAGCTATGAAATCTGGAAGGCTACAGAGTACTATCTGCTGTGTCAGAATTTTAATTGTATTACTAAAAAAGCTTGCAATTTCTCTTCTTTGTAACTTTAAAATGATCTGCCAGGGACAAATAGATCATACGGAGATGCACTCCATAATTAACCTTACCAAGCCTACTGAGTTTATTCCTCATTTGTAGAAGTATTGTGGGTAGATTACAGTTTATTTTGCTGTGCAATGTATATATTTAAGACTCATTATTTCTAAAGCTGTCAAGTTTACTGAAGACTTGCATTCACAATAATAGAGATAATGAAGCGTGTAGAACTCTGTTTAGTAATCAGCCTATGTGCTGCCTTATGGGCAATTCTAACTCACTCCCATCATTCAGCCTTGCATTGCAAGGCTATTCAGTACCCCTACTCCTCCGAGACTCTTCCATGGATAAAGTATAAACTCACATTACAAAACCTTGCTAATAAGATGTGCATTCCTCAGATATCAAGGTAGGTAATACAACAATCACCATATTAATATGTATAGCAAAATGGAACACTCTACCGTTACAAGTATAATTTTAATGTCTAATGTTAAAGTACTCCTGCCTTTTTTTAGATTGATTGCGTCCCATACTAAGCTACTGCTGTGAGACATGGCGCTAAGAAGTTAAAAAAAAGTCCGGTATCTGGAGGGGAAGATAGCAGACAATGAAGACCATGACCGGAGAAACAACATCAGACTCCGAGGCATACCAGAAAGTATAGGGCCACAAGACCTCGCCCAATATGCTCAAAAGCTATTCAAAACTTTAATCCCAGCTCTAGAAGAATCAGATCTGCGTTTAGACAGAATACACAGACTGCCTAAACCTCGACACCTACCTGCTACCACCCCTAGAGACGTGATCACGAAAATACATTACTTCACGGTCAGAGACCGGATAATGCAGGCGTCCAGACTGGATAAAACCCTTCCAGGTGACTATGCAGATATTAAGCTTTTCATTGATCTGTCGTCGGCCACCATGTACAAGAGGCAAACGTTTGCGCCCATCACTAAAGCCCTGCGCAAGGCCAACATTCTATATAGATGGGGATTTCCAGCCAAACTATTAGTTAACAGAAACGGAGCAAATCAAATAATCCTCACACCAGAAGATGGTCTAAAGACCCTAGAAGAATGGAACATACCAATCCCAATAGCTGACAAACAAAAAGAGGACACCCCACCGCCACGTAAAATGGCAAGAGACTGGCAACAAGTTCCATGGAACGCTACAGATCCGCAGACCCGACGAACACCCCGTACCTAAGACTTTCCTCTGCCAACATCGGGACACGTAATATCTTCACCCACAACGGTTTTATTGTATTTCTGTGTAATATATGTTTACTATTGCATTGTTCCACTCCAAATAGACACAGTTATGAGAACACAGCCATAGGCCCTCGAGCGGTAGAGAAGTACCACTAAAGATACAACTCTCTACCTTACACGACCAACCCTAACCATAATACGCTTTTAGGACTCACCACTACCCCCCACACGGCTTACAAACTAAGCCAACATATACCCGTGTGCAATTTAGTGCACTCAGCCCCAATGGCCAACGGGAACCTGTATATAGTTTTGTTTGATCCCACCCCCCTTTACCGACCCATACGAATCTATACCTAGCAGCCAAGATAATAGGTGATCAGCGTATGCGATTCCCCCTATCTGACTCAGCGCCCCACCTGCCCCCCGAACCGTAAGGTTGGCATAATGCCATTAAAAATCCTTTCCCTCAATACCAAAGGGCTGAACTCACCCAACAAGCGTAGGCTAGCTTTACAAGAAGCTAAGAGACAGAACGCACAAGTGGCTTTTTTCCAAGAAACCCACTTTAAATGGAGAGCTAAACCCAGATTCAACTCCCCCTGGTTTCCAATAGATTACCACACATGCTATCATACCAAAAAAAGAGGAGTGTCGACACTAATAAGCAAAAATGTTACTTTTGAATTAATACGTAAAATTGGAGATAAAAAAGGCAGATACCTTATCATACAATGTCACATCAACAATCAACCGTATACGTCTATAGCCCTAATGAAAATCAAGTTATGTTTATTGCTGATGTCTTCTCTCTCTTGTCAATGTACAGTTTTGGGGAGGTAATCATTGGAGGCGACACCAATTTTCTCTTAGATGCACATATGGATTCATCCGCTTCTAGAACGGTAAATACAACAACCTCAAAAAAACGACTCACACTGACAACCAACATTTGCCAAACACTAATGACACATAATTATGTAGACCCATGGAGAATTTCACACCCGACGGAAATAGATTATACCTGCTATACTGCAGCACACAACAGCTACTCAAGAATTGACAGATTCCTAATCAAAAGCTCATCCCTAGAGAGAGTATCTCACACAGACATTGGCAATATCACATGGTTTGACCATGCACCAATCACACTGACATTATCAGAACAATTCCCCTCCACTGGCCGCACCACCTGGAGACTGAACGAGTCCCTACTCAATGATCCGGTAATAGTCTCCCACATCACAACAGACCTCCAACACTATTTTGCAGACAATGTACAAAGTAACACAACACCGGAATTAATTTGGTTAGCACACAAAGCTGTACTAAGAGGCAGCTTCATAAAACACGCGAGCCAGGCCAAAAAAACTCGCCAGGCACAATACTTACAAATCATTGCAGACATAACGTCATTGACTCACAGGAATAAACATACACCGTCACCTAACATACAAACTGCCCTACACCAGGCACACTCCAAACTACGAGATTTCGAACTAGCCAAAACCACATACCTACTGCAAAAAAACAAACATAAATTTTTTGCATTCGGCAACAGAGCAGGAGCAAAATTGGCTTCTCAACTTAAACAACGATCAGCCGCCTCCAGGATTGCCTTCCTAAACAATAGCAAAGGTCAGAAAATCATAGACCCCAAAAAAATCGTAAATGAATTCTCAGACTATTACCACAACCTGTACAATTTGGGAGCAGGAGGGGGGGTGAAGGTCCCTACACAAGAAGATATCAACAGATACCTAACAGATAACCAACTACCTTCCCTATCAGCAGATGACATTAACCAACTCCACCAACCAATAACCCCCGAAGAAATAACTAAAGCTATAGCTGACCTCCCCCCACACAAATCACCGGGACCCTATGGCCTACCCAATAAATATTACAAAAAGTTCTCCGGACTACTAACCCCACACCTAACGAACCTCTTTCAACACTGCGCAGGAAAGGGAGTTACCCAAACCTGGTAAACACCCTACTGCCCCCATATCCCTCCTCAATAGCGACGCCAAACTGTACGCGAAAATAATAAGCAACCGACTTACACCCGTATTAAACAGTTTGGTACACAATGACCAGACTGGGTTTGTGAAGGGACGCCAAGGCTCAGACAATACCCGAAAAATCCTTAGTATACTGGCCACAATGGAACGCAACTCGGTTGGAGGCCTGCTCCTTGCCTTGGATGCGGAGAAGGCCTTCGACCAACTAAATTGGTCCTTCATGCAGGCGGTACTCCTAAAATATGGCCTCTCTCCCGAGACTATTAGAAGTATCATGGCACTATACGCAACACCGGCAGCCAGGGTTTCACATGGAGGCTTCCTCTCCAACACATTCCCGATATCAAATGGGACCCGACAGGGCTGCCCTCTCTCCCCTTTACTCTACTTTTTATCCCTAGAACCCCTAGCCCAAAAAATACGCTCCCACCCTAGCATAGAGGGCATAAAAATCCGAACGCATGAATACAAATTGGCACTCTTCGCCAATGATATCCTAGTGACGCTAGGGAATCCTCAAACGTCGGTACCATACCTTATGGAGGCCCTAATAGAGTTTGGCGATATATCGCATTACCGCCTAAACCAAGACAAGACCCAGGCTCTACCTATTAGACTTCCCCCGACCACTACAACCTTTTTAAAAGACAAATTCCAATTGGAATGGAGAACGTCCTCCCAAACATACTTGGGGGTAAAAATAGCACCCTCAATAACCGAGATAACAAAACTTAATTACGACACCCTTCCACAACAATGCACAAAAGAAGTCCAAAAATGGACACAGACAAAAATCTCATGGCTAGGAAAAATTAACGCATATAAGATGGTGATCCTACCAAAAATACTGTATGTTTTCCGAATGCTTCCCATTCAGATCCCGCAAACACTCCTCAAAAACCTCCAAACTATATGCAATAAGTATATTTGGGGAAATAAGAGACCACGCATACTGCACACCATACTACAGAGACACGCATCGCAAGGAGGAATGGGACTGCCCAACATAGGCTTCTATTACAAAGCCTCCGCCTTGACAGCGGGAATACTCATGCATACCCCAGTAGGGAATACCCAATGGGTTGACCTGGAAAAAGCCCAATTCCAAGATAACACAGCACTAGACTACATGTGGACCCTAAAAAAACTCAGGCCACCTAAGGCCGACCTGCTCCCTACAACAAAATTTACCCTCCAAGTATGGACAACCTTCTTAGAGACCCTAGGAGCCAAACATACCTTCCATCCTAAAGCACCTTTAACAGCCTTAATGGCAATCTCACCAGATATCCATTTACAAAAATGGTTGAAGGCAGGAATCACCCATATACACCACATACTACAGCCACAAGGACTGATGAAATTCCCCGAAATACAAAAGACATGGGGCCTACCCAACAACACCATATTCTCGTATCTCCAACTTAAGGGTCTGATCACCACCCATGTGCACCACCAGCACCCCAACCCAAACCAAACATCTCTCCCAACAGAAGCGATAATGGAACGGTGTAGGAAAGCACCAACGAAATCAAAAGCCATCTCCCTCTGCTATAAAGCATGGGAGGACACCCTACCCCCTACTACACCTAAACATAAAACTTTATGGGAAGCAGACTGCTCTCTCCAACTCACAGAGAGGGAATGGATACATGCACTCAATGACTTATCCAAATGGACACGTTGCTACACACACATCGAAGCCCATAGGAAACTATTATATACATGGTACCTAACCCCAAGTAGGCTTCACAAAATCTACCCAAACACATCTTCGTTATGTTGGAGATGCAAGGCTGCTGAGGGTACACTCATACATATATGGTGGAACTGCCCTAACATACAACCTCTCTGGACAGAGGTGCATCGCACACTTCGTATCCTTCACGTGCCCAACACCCCAAAAACCCCAGAGGTGTACCTACTTCTGCGGTTTCTGCCACTATTTGACAAATCACAAAAACAACTGAGCGCACTCACCACCCTTGCAGCCCGTAACCTATTGGCCTTGAACTGGAAATCTACACTGTGCCCAACAAAAGCCCAGCTAAGAGACAAAATACAACAATTTTACATTTTTGAACGCATGGCCATAACTGATGACAACACAGCGCGAACATTCCAAGCGACCTGGGCCCCATGGGTCACACTGACCACACCCAAAAAGGGATAACACGGAGACATGACCAACCTAGCCAAGATCACCCCAAAGAGACCATATAACTATGCCAACAGGTGAAATTGAACAACTCCAACACCAAGACTGCACATGGCGATAGGTAATCCCAGAAACCCACTCCCGGAGCACAGGGAGGATACATGCCACAACACGCTGAGCCCCCCTTCACTGGCCACTACACCCCAAGCGATAGGAGTAGATAGACAGGGAGATGTGTCCGACAACGGACGCTGGTTATTAGTTCTTGTTGTTTATACGTTGTTCTGATGATTGATGTATGACTACAGTGAGGCACAGTTGGCATGACAAGCTTTAATGTAACAAATACTATGTTTCCAAAACGAATATGCTGTACAATGCCAGAAGCTAATGTTGTGCTAGGGCAAACATGTTTGTGGCTCACTACTATTTTACTGTACTACTACCTTACTGTACCATTACTACTCACTTCTGTATGTTTTATTGTATTCTATATGTTGAAGTATACTTCTCTTGTCAATGATGTAAACCCATTGACCGCTGAAAATCAATAAAAAATTATATTGAAAAAAAAAAAAAAGACGAGGCCAAAGTGGCGATGTTTGGCCATATTGCACAGCGCAACGTTTGGCAAAAACCGAACACATCATATCAGCAGAAACACCTCATACCAACTGTAAAGCAAAGTTTTGGAGGGGTGATGATTTGTGCTTGTTTTGTTTTGCCGCGATATGTAAAACCATAGAATTCCATTCTACTACTATGAACCGATTGGATACTTAGAGATTGAGGTGTTCCAACCGTTATAAAATGACACAGATGGTTTTGGAAATGAAAAAAACCTATAAAATACAAATTACAAAAAAAAAAACCCCATAGAATTCAAAGAGAGTGTATTTTCTTTTCCCCATTACATTATGAGTGGTATTTACAGGACTCACCAAAAAAATGCTGCTGCCATAAGATGAGAGGTAATGAGTGTAACCATAAAGGCCCAGTGGCTCCTCAAGCTGTGTGGCCCAATGATGACTTGTGGACTCAGTGAAACCATATTATCCTTATTACCCTTACATCCAACACTGCCATTAAATGCAATTACTGTGAAGGCATTGTGCAGGGAGGGAAGAGAGGAGCCTCAAATTAAACAATCAAGAATATTTTTTAGGAACTATTTTCTTTATAAAAGCTCATAGTTTCCAAATTTGAATTTAAAGAGGTGTAATTACCTTTGACATGCTATGTGACACTGTCCTGCATTTTTATAGCTAATAATATGCCCCCATTACTATGAAACCCTGCTGTACAATTGTAATTTTTTTTATAAATGATGAATTTTGTTCATATTAATCAGCTTGATTACAGCATAATTAGCGAAATGTCAGTAAATGTCAGTAAAATTCCAAAGAAATTAAGAGGTGTACTTCCTGATTGACAATTTTGATTAGATTATTTTAAATAATGACCATTCTACACTGTTTTTTCTAAGGGACAGTCTAAGTTCAAAATGTATTTCATCATAATGAAGTGCTTATTGGGCATTAATGCTGCCCCTGAAGTCTTGCAAATGAAACGAGTGCCATCTCTGAAAAATGATACCAGACACAAGATCTTGCCTAACACTGTATATGCAATAGCTCAAAATAGAGAGAGGTCAACCACATGACCGAAGGTTTTAAACCCCTCAAAGTAATTACATAGAAAGAATGTGGTGGTGGTGCTGTGTAGTTAAATCATAACTTTAATACAATTTTCATAAAAAACAATGTAATTATATCATAAACAATAATTGAATCTGCCAATAGTTGATGCAGAAACACCAAAGATAGGAAATAATGTGAAAAAGTAGTGAAATGAATAATAATAAGGAAAAACAATCAAAAAATTAATCATTATAATAATAATTAGTAATTGGAATGTGAAGTTTAACCACAGTTGATGGAATTTGACAGCAATCCTAATGGAGTCTGTATAAGCCGATCTCTATAGAAAAATAGTTCAGCAGTTTCCTTGGGAAAATACTATGATGGGAACAACAAATATTGCATCAAATATTATCAAGATATATTGTTTCCAGGTTTCAGGATAGAGAGTGGCTGTGTCTAGTTCAGTGGAAATTACCGTTTATGGCATTTGTTCTGGTGAGTAGAATAATTCCCTTCAGGAGACAGGAACAGGTCTGAGGCAGAGCCAGCAGCTTCAGACTTGAATACAAGTAAGATTTTACTATATTCAGGGAGGACAGGGGGATCAGGGCCGACGCTACCTGTTAGACGGACTAGGCAGCCGCCTAGGGCGCCCCTTGGAAAGGGGCGCCACCAGGAGTGCCGGCCCCCCTCATGCTGCAGCCGCCCGAGCGCAGTGTAGAGAGCCTCAGGAGGCTGCAGCTTTGCCCAGGCTGGTGTGTCCATGAGGGCGCACCGCCCGGGCGCGGCATGAGGAGAGGGGCTGACAGGAGGGAAGCGCTGAGCACTCCCTCCTGTCACTCCCTCACTGTAGGCCAAGCTCTATATGGTCCAAGGGGTACAGGGAGCATCTGAATGTACACTGAATGTACACTTCCTTTTAGTCCGGCCGGGTACAGGAAACAAAAGCTCCCTGTACCCGCGGACCATGCAGAGCTCGGCCACGCTACAACAGAGGTGGGGGGGGGAGAAATAAATTGACAGGGAGAGGGGGAGAAATAAATTGACGGGGAAATAAATTGACGGGGAGAAATAAATTGACAGGGGGAGAAAGAAATTGACAGGAGGGGGAGAAAGACAGGGGAGAAAGAAATTGACAGGGGGAGAAGAAATGACAGGGGAGAAAGAAATTGACAGGGAGGGGGGAAAGAAATTGACAGGAGGGAGAAAGAAATTTGACAGGGAGGAGAGAAGAAATTGACAGGAGGCTGACAGAAATTGACAGAAGGGAGAAGGAAATTGATTGACAGGAGGAGGGAGAAAGAAATACAGGGGATTAACAGGAGGGGAGAAATAAATTGACAGGGGTGGAAGAAATTGTCAGTGGGGGAAAGAAATTGACAGGGGAGGGGAGAGAAAGAAAAATTGACAGGAGGGAGGGGAGAAAGAAATTGACAGGGAGGGAGGGGAGAAAGAAATTGACGGGGGGGGAGAAATTGACAGAGATGGGGGGAGAATGAAATTGACGGGGGAGGGAGGGGGAATGAGAGTGGGGAGGGGAAGGGGAGAACATTGATTTTTGTGACCACAGTTACAAACCGCCTCCATAGAGCCTGTTCTACACCAGACCAGTGGAGCCAGACTGCAGCTAGAGCCCATCATCATCCTCATCTGGTTGTAAGTAGGCAATCTAGTATATTATTCGTGGCACTAATCTCTAATTTATCTCACATTAAAGAAACACTGTAGTCCCCAGAACCACTGCAGCTTAATGTAGTGGTTCTGGTGTCTATAGCCGGTCCCTGCAGGCCTTTTAATGTAAATGCGGCGGCACTGCAGCACTGGCGTTAGTTAACATGGCAGATCATATGGGTGGGGCATTGTGATGTCACATGGGGGGGCGGCAAACTTTACTTTTGCCTAGAGCGGCAAAAATCCTTGCACCGGCCCTGGGGGGGATAGATGGTGGTTTTAACACTCTAGGGTCAGGAATACATGTTTTTGTTCCTGAACCCATAGTGTTCCTTTAAATAGAAAACAATAGTGCCCTCTGAATGTCTCTGGAGTCAGAGGCATAAGAGTAAAGTAATAAAAAAGGAGTAGTTCCTAGTAACCGTAATATAAGCACCATTTATTAACCCTAAGTGAGGTCTATTTGTTGGGAGAGTTAGTTGTAAATCTCAAAATATAATAAATATGTATAATACAACCCCTATGCTGTTTTACAACTACTTGCCTCTTGTCTAGGTCCCTCCACCTGTTTCAAGATGGGTTGCCTCTTACCTGGATCCCTCTCTCAATGGCAGTTGAATCACCTTGTGCTTTTACAGAGCTGCTGAAGCCTGATGCTGGTCCTGCTGGCCATTTGCCTGAGAGTGTCAGCTGAGCACTCCCAACCGATGAATAAAAGTCAGTGCAGAAAATATGTACAGAATTGTAACTAGCTATCTTGGAACTATTGTTTCAGGTTGGCTTATTACACTGCCAGAGATGGAGTAACTCCACACCTCCAGCATCTACTGTAAATAACTCGCCAGGCAAGGGTTTGCCTCCTTACCTGGGTCACTTCCAAGCTCTGAGACTCCCTGGTGAACCAATGACGTGCTTTTCGAACATCAACTGACCACACTCAGCCAATGACTGAGTTTTGGATCAATTAAAGTTGCACATAATTTACATTAGCGAGCCTGGAACATTAGTTTTGGGCTGACTGATGACACCCCAATGGCACTGCCAAGAGAAGGGGGTTTAAACTCTACATGTGCAGTGTTTCATAGCAAAATTCTGTACACCCAGGCCCAGGAACATTGATCACTTCAAATCACAAGTGTTCATGGTGCTTTGAGTAAACCCATTTAACTTGTGTTTTGCAGCATGCTTACCTTGTCCGCTACTTTAAATTCTAATTCCCAAACCATTACTTTTTAGTTTTCTCCAGGGGTTTAATTTATATTCCATATTTATAAATTATATACTACCATCTTGCAAAACTTTGCATCTGAATACAGATGAATATAAATACACTAAAATTGTAATTTACAAAAGTGTAAAGTTCTGAAGAGTCAGTATTGTTTTCAATTAAGTAATCTTTCCCTAAAGTTTTTAAGTCACTTTTAATTCACAACTATTCAAACAATTGTGAATAACTGTGAGATACAAAATGTAATATTTGAGTTTATAAATGCAGGAAATGTATCTGATTGTTATATAGCAGCAAAATGGATAAATTGTATATTGGCCAAAGCAGTATTATATTTTTAGAGTGGCCCCCTGTTTAACATTAAAACAATGTCAAATTACCACTTGGCCCTGGTTAGCTGCAAGAAAAATAGTGGTATGTGGCTAAACCCCAACCTTTTTGGCTAAACCCCAATCATATTAATGATTCATCCATTCATTCTCCTAATCTCC